ATGGGTTTTTTTGTGCCATTTCAGACACAACCGCTTTAGCAACCAGCTGCTCACAAACTTTATTTACCTTTTCATACAAAGCTCCTTGCGTCCCATTGACAAAGCGTGGTTGAGCTGTTCCTGCGGTAAACGGCATTCTGTTTTCACCTCTTCTTTGTGCTTCTGAATCGCTGCAGTGTGCTGTTTAAAATGAAAGCAGCGCTTCCAGTAGCATCGCGCTTTCCCCCTCACCATTTTTCACTGCATAATATTCCACAAACTTTTTTTAAGGTTCTACATTGAGCACTATAGCACTAGACCAATATAGCACTTCTCAGTGTATCTCAATGGGGCTGCTGTAGCACTGAAGTGCTATATTGGTCTAGCCCTATAGTGCTCAACTTAGAACGTTAAAAAGAAAGTTTGAGGAAGATCGCGTAGGGAAATAAGCGCAGCACTGCTTGAAGTGGCCAGATTGCTTCAGAGACAGATCATTAACGGAATGAAATCCACTGTATGAAACCATCATCCCTGTATTGCTTTGCTCAGAACCGGGCCAACAATGGATAACATCTGGTTTAGAACCGTAATGTGAAAGGGGCCTATCTGTTGCCTTGTATTGCTTTAGTTATTGGTGACCAGCTTCCAAAGTTCTTACATTTTTAGGAAGCAATCCTTTTACCTTGGTTCATTCCCCCCTGTGTCCCATCGTTGGTGGGGGAGAATATTGTACTTTTTGATGCTGGAAGATGAAACATGTACCGATCTTTCTGTCCTCCCAGTCCTGTTTTCTGATTATGGAAGTGGTTCTCAGACTTTGCTGCAATGAAGACTTCCCCTACTCAAGAGAAAATGTTCGGGGAAGGATCCACTGTAAAGTAAAATGATTTAAACAAATGTCAAAGTTATTTTGTTTTATTCCTGAAACAATCGATCATTGCAGTAAACAAAGGGAAGGCACAAATGCCCTGGCTACATTGACTGTGATATTTGGGAGAGAGAGTGGAGGTCTTTGACTTTCCAATCCAGCAAAGTCAAACTCCAAATATTGCTGGAAGAGAGCAAGACAGTAGTGATGTCGCCGCTTGCCAGAAATATCTTGCTGGATCAGACTGAGGTCCATCTAGGTCAGCCAGGGTGCCTTTGTGCTCTCACAAGTACAGCGTGAAGCCGACAGTCTCCCAATGGGGTTTGTTCTTACCACTTGGTATGATAAGAACCTCCGTGTGTGAAAACTCCATTTGGCTTTTGTGCTTAAAAGCCATTGATATATCCTGCATGAACTTGGCTAAAAAACTGTTGATGCTAGTGAATAATCATTACATCTTATGGATGCAGCTTCCGCAGCTGAAGTAAGCGTTGCTCAACTTGAAGCCAACGCCACTCTAGTAAAGCACCTTCATGCCCCCTCTTTTTTTTTTGAGGTGGGGTGAGCCTTAAAAACGGACAAAACACGCTAAAACAACTTATTTGCTTCATATTAAAAAAAATAACTAAAGATTGAATTATCTTTCCTGAAAGCCCTCAAAATCACAATCGTAAGACCAGATCCCTTTTAATCACAATAAGAAAAAATTCCCAATATATCTCGACAACATCCTCATAGTGACAGTGTTTGATGCATGACAGGATCAATGCTAAACTGTGTTCAGCGCACTGGTGTCAGTGTAAACAACGTATCCTAATAAAATAATAATAAGCCAATAATAAAATGATAATAAATAAAAGGTTTTTAAAAAATAAATAAAATAGTAAAGCCATTTTAAAAAGAAAAAAGCTGGGTGGCAAGTGAAAAAAAATATGTGTCGCTTTCCGAACTAATGATACAGAGCAGAACAAACAAGGGTGTTTTGGAACTGATAATTTGTCACAGAATCCAGAATGGGCTTTTATAGATCTTCGGAATTCTGATTTGGAAGGTCATAAATGGCTGTGCTCTCTTTTTTTCATCAATCACCCGTGGGTTTAATCGTTTGTATCTTGCTTCCAGTTTGATTGTTGCTTGGAGTTTTCTCTCAGACTCACACAAAAACCGTATCCCAGTGATTGAGGGGAATGCACAAAAACACATCTGTGAGATCACGTACGTTAGTTCTGTGTACAGTTACGATGCATGTCCTCTGAAAAACTAGTCGGACGGGCTGGAGTGCCGGTTGATCTTGACTGTTCATATGCATTAAGATGAGAAGCTCGGCGTGGCATGTTTTGTTTTTGAACACCATCGCCTGGGGTGGATGCAACGTTTCATTGTTTCACTGTGCTCAAAAGACCAGGAAGGACCCTTGGAATCATGCATTCCTCCTCCTCCAACTTAGTTCTCCTCCTCTAATTCTCCTCCATATTCTCTCTCTCTCTCTCTCTCTCTCTCTCTCTCTCTCTCTCTCTCTGGTTAATCTTTTTATTTTTTAAAAATATAGTGGTATAAAAGAGTAAATTCATCAGAAGTTATCAAATATCATGAATAGTTGCGTACAACAAGTTTAATCAACTGTATTAATAAAAATACATCATTAAAATATGGAAGCAGCAAATAAAACATGATTATTACAGTATTCAGGAATAAGTTATCTTTTTGAGATAGGAAACAAAATATTTCTGAATATTCAGCAGCAGTCTAATAAAAATAAATGAGATTACATCTTTAACAATTAAACACATTTGTACGCTAAGTTTAAACCATCCTTAAAACCTGTATATTATTTTAATCGTCTATCACATTATAAGTCTTATTTTTACTAAATATCTTAAATACTTAATGGAGGATTAAAGAGATTTAAACTGTAATCAATGTCATTGGTCCCGTTCACACTAGGTGATTTGGGCCGGGAGCGGGACAGTTCGGGGCCGGATCAAACCGGCGCGATCACACCACAACATCTGGGAAGCGTCTTGCTTCCGTGCCCGAACTGTCCCTTCCCCGCACAAATCCGCCGCAAACTGAACCACCTACCTAGCCGGGGAGAAAAGGCGCCGCGGCCAGGGGATCCGTGGGATCCTGCCGCGGCGTCTCAATGTTGGCGCGGCTTTTAAAAGCCGCGCCTTAAGAGGCTTTTTCCCTGCCGTGTGGCAGGGGCCATCGTCACCTTTTATGTAATATTCAGATAAATTCAAAAATTTTCAAGAAATTTTAACTACTCCCATAATATAAGTAATAGGCTTGCAATTTCTATTGAACTTTTTCAACGGCCTTTTATTTATATAGTTACTTTTGCCACTGTCACGTACTCAGCTAATTTTTCTTTCCAAATCCCTATTGTGGGACATTCTTCTGTCTTCCATTTCATTGGAAATGTTACTCTTAACAGCGGTCGTCATGTATCTGAGTAGGTCTTGTGAAGTTCTTTCTATATTGTCTGGCAGAATTCCCAATAACATAGTCTCTGGTTTCATCGGGAAATTAGTTTATAAAATATTTTGAATTTCCTCATGTATCTTCTTCTAGAATCTCTCTGTCTTGATTCAGGTCCATCCCTGTTCCAACAGGACCCTTTATAATTCTTATCCATCTTTTCAGTATCTTTTGGAGTGACGTACTACCAGTAAAACATCTTATGCCAGTTTTCTCTTAGTGCTGGACTGGCTGTGAATCTAATATCCTTAGTCAGTAGGGTTTTTTCAGCATTGAAACTGTATTCTCACACCGAAATTTTGCATCCATTCAATTATGTGTGGTTTAACCTGTTCATATTCAGAATCATATTGACACAATAATTTGTAAATTTGCCCCAGTAGGTGGTCTTTAGATTGTGAGACAGTCTTTTCAAAATCAGTCCGTTCTTTTAGAACACCTCTTTTTACACAGATGTCATTTTTAAAAATCTAGAATCAATTTGAAAATATATCCACCATTATATCTCTTTCCCGTCTTCTTTGATCTCTTGTCACATCTTAATCTCTGCTTGTGAATTTATCATATCGCTTAAGGTTATGGAATCATTATTTTCCCTTGTGTGATTGCCATAACAAGCATCTATTGGTGACATTACTGGTGGGATTGAGGGGGGCTGCTTCTTTTTCTTAGCATTTCCCAAATTTTAAATAAGCTATCTCTAATTATATGTCATTCTCCTCCATTCTCGAACTGTGTTTACTGCTCCATCCATATGGTGTGTTGGACACCTCACCAGGGCTGACTTAACCAGTTTAGGTAAAGGTAAAGGTTCCCTTGCTCGAAAGCCAGTCGAATCCGACTCTAGGGTTGCGGTGCTCATCTCCGTTTCAAAGCCGAAGAGCCAGCGCTGTCCAAAGACGTTTCCGTGGTCATGTGGCCGGCATGACTAAACACCAAGGCTCACGGAACGCTGTTCCCTTCCCACCAAAGTGGTACCTATTTATCTACTTGCAATTTCTTGATTTCGAACTGCTAGGTTGGCAGGAGCTGGAACTAGAGATGGGAGCTCACTCCATCATGCGGCACCCGGGTCTCGAACTGCTGAACTACTGACCTTCCACAGCCTGCAGTTCAGCGTCTTAACCACTTGAGCCACCGCAGCTTAAACTTAACATTTATACGCCCTGTAGGATGATCTGTTTAAAGGGTGATGGGGAGGGGCCGTGGATCAGTGGTAGAGCATCTGCTTGGCATGCAGCAGGTCCCAGGTTCAATCCCCCCGTTTCCAGCTGAAAAGACTATGCGTAGGTGATATGAAAGACCTTTGCCTGAGCGCCACAGCCAACCTGAGTAGACAGTACTGACTTTGATGGAGTAAAAGGGTCTTTACCTGCCTCCCAGTTTGGTGTAGCGGTTAGGAGCGTGGACTCTAATCTGAGAGAACCGGGTTTGATTCCCCACTCCTTTACATGTAGCTGCTGGTATGACCTTGGGTCAGTCACAAGTTCTCCCAGAGCTGTTCTCTCAAGAGTAGTCCTCGAAAGAGCTCTCTCAGCCCCACCTACCTGACAGGGTGACTGTTGTGGGGAGGGGAAGGGGAAGGAGATTGTAAGCCGCTCTGAGACTCCTTCGGGTAGTGAAGGGCAGGGTCTAAATCCAACCTCCTCTTCTTCTTCTCTCTTCCTGGCAGGTGTTCCAGAGCCTGGAGGACCATCATCAGGAAGTGGTCTCCTTCTTCCGAGAGAACGGTTTCCACGGGCTGATCGCCCACGACTCGGAGTACGCCCTCTGCAACATCCCCTCCTATTACAGCTCCCACGCCCTCAAGCTGAGCTGGAACGGCAAGAACCTCACCACCAACCAGTTCCTCATGCAGGAGGTGGCCAAGCAGCTGGGCCTAAAACTGGGCAGCTTCCCCGTCTTCGCCGCTCTGCTAGGTAAGTGGGAACGGAGCGGCCTGTTCCAGTTAACGGTCGGAGCCGTGTCGGATCAGGCCAGTGGCCCATCCAGTCCAACTATATATTCACACACGCAATCGTCTATTAAGAGTTATGGGGGGGGGACCTACAAATAGGCGTCACTAAACTTATACTGTGCCTTGTAGACTCTGTCAGCTGCATGCCATCTTGCCGATCTATCCAAGGTTCCTGATTCAAGGTCTGCAAGAAGAAGGGAGGTCTACCTCCCTCCAGTCTTCCCGGGGTTTTTTTTGAGGATAGGTGCAATGAATATATATCTAAGGTCGTCATGCTTTGATCTGGATTGCCCAGGCTAGCACGATCTCACCAGAGCTCAGAAGCTAAGCAGGGCCGGCCCTGGTCAGTCCTTGTTTGGGAGACCAGCAAGGAAGCCCAGGGTTTTTACAAGAGGCAGGCGATGGCGAACCCACCTCTGTTCATCTGACAGCCCTGACCCGGATTTACTTATTTATTTGGCTTATGCCCCGCTCCTTTCCCCACCAAGCAGGGCTCAGGGATAGCCCAAAGCTAGCCGGGCTTTGCTAGACCTTGGAAACTAAAAAGATAGAGGGGGGTTGCAGTATAATAAGGATACAAACAGAAAAGAACTACTGCAAACTGTGCATATTGCAAACTTATATTCAATGCAATAACAATATATCTATATATCTAATAGCCTA